TAAATTTATTTTCGAAAACATTTCTGAAAAGGAAAATCTGTGCACACTAGGACCACTCGGATCGGACACCGAGTCCTCTTCCAATTCCCCCGCTCCTCTTGTGCTGTCACAGCAGCTCAGCAAGACTGTTTCCTGGGAAATGCCCCCTCCTCTCAAGCAACTTCCTTCAAAAAAGAATTTGATTTGATGCCTTCAGACACAATCTAAATTCAAACTATTAATAGTAGCACACAGTGGAAAATCACATTGTTAACATCTTATTTTCTAAATATTATTTTAAAGAAGCACAGTCACTCCACCTGTATGCTGAAGTTATGGAATACCGGATCCGACCCAGCTGCTCAATCCGTTTGGCACATTCTTCAAAAGTAGCTCACCTTTTTGTTCCCGAAGTCCCTATAGGCTTTTAATCAGGTATAGTTTTTCAACATTAAATTCATTTCCTTCAGCACTATTGCAACGAGAAATCTACTTTGTGGTGGAAGCTCGGTAAACCGGTGGACGGGAAGCCTTTCGGGTGCCAAACAAATAGCCGGCCAGCCATTCGGGCTCAAAGACTCTGCTGTGAGCTCAATAGAGCTTCCTCTAAACGCTCCCCAAGACCGCACTTGAATCAGACGATTTGATAATTTTCGTCCCGTTTTCCATACGGAAAGTCATTTTGATATGATATTCTCGGCATGAACTTGAAAGTTGGGTGCCACTTTGGGATTTAGTGATGTCCGCCTGTTCGTCTCTCAGGCTGCCAAGCGGACTCCTGGGGCCCCCGATTGAATAACTTATGATTAATATCAACACAGCCGCTGCCACAGTGACTGAGTTACCAGACACCATTGATCTAGACCGTGAGATGTCACAGAATCAAGGCACAGATTGATCCGGAGGCAAGGTTTTGTGCGACTAAATTTATTGGTGCCTGACAACCGTTTTTCTGTGAGCTTTTGGTAGAATTAATGCACTGAATATGACATTTCATTTTCAGGTTTAAGCCTCAAATCAAATCATGTTTATGACCAAGTATTTGACGGAAACTAAAATATAAAAAACAGGATTTTATATGTAATCATATCTGGTTCCTGCCCAGGATGAATAAAATGTCAAATTGTTGGCCGATGAGCAGCTACATTTGAACAGTTGGGGATTAACTGCTCTGCTGCAGGGTGTTTGCAAAGCAGCTCCTCAGCAAAAATTTTACTCATACCTCTTTGTGACATATTTTCTAAACCCAGATATTTGCAGCAGAGACTCTGGAACAGAGCGCCACACTCGAGGTAACTCATGTGCGAGTTTTGTACAAATTGAAATCAAAAGTTTCCAAATCAATACATGACAGCACTTTGTAAGATTGGTTCAAAGTAGCTGTGACATGAAAGAAAGTTGCTGCACCATTAAAAGGAAAATGTCTTCAACAACAACAACAACAACAACATGTTTTCTATTTCTTATCTCCAACTGTCTTGATCAAGCATTTTCTGCACTTGTTCATCAGTAAATAAATGTATTCAGGCATTCGCCACATCAGCTATTCCAAATTCCCAAATCTTAGTTGAATGGATGAAACATGAAGACTGAGATGTTGGTTCAGCTTTAATATATGTTTCCGGAAAAAGGGCCAGTTGCCACCTAAATTAAATAGTTCACTGTCTGTGCAGTGGCTATTGTAGGACATTATGGATCATTATTATAGGTTTTGCCACACAGGTCGGCACATCAAGCTGTAGAAACATCATTGACGTTGAATGACATATTTTCACATTCAGAGGCCCACACTATGGGTTGTTGCTTTTTACAGTAAGTTAGTGTGATTTCATTTTTTCAATACGTTACTTGTCACTGTGCCAGTTAATAACTGTGGATTTCACAGTACGTTTCACACAGTGTATAGTTTTTATACTCTACTCCTTACTCTACTCAATTGCAAATTCTTGACGATAACATGTTACTCTTAGGCTTCTAAATGCGCTGCTATTTTTAGCACAGGTGCTCAATGTTTGGTAATAAAAAAAGGTAAGGGAGAGTTGATCTTCTTGTTAAAAACAGGCTCATGCTGTATTTGGAAACAAGATTGATGAGAGTGGTGAGATTGAACCAAAACGGTAAAGTTGTGCGCCTGAGAAACAGTCCGAGTCAGGTCATCATTCTTTGGGTTGTTCACCAAGTATGAACCCTTTCACATTACGCACTACTTGTTATCACTTGTTATGTAATCATTTGTTAAGACAAAAAAACGATTCACTCGACTGGATCAAAAGAAGCCTGAGGAATGAGGAAACTTTGAACTAAAACTATAACGGGATCATGCTCCAAATAATAAGTTGAAGAAAACCATCGAAAGTAGCTAATTTTACCAGACTTAATGACCTTGCTGCATGGCTCATCTCGCACAGAAGTATTTCTACAATGAAACTTAAGTCAGTCACTCTGGCAGTCTGGAGGTTTATTGAACACTTACATTGAATGGGACAGCTGATTTATGAGCATCGCGCTCTATTGTGTTCTCTACTGTGTTGCATATAAATTGCTTGCTACCTCCCTGAGTTTCACTTTCTGTAGGAAACTTGATGACAGGCGCGATGGTGTCAGTCATCTTTCCTTTTTAAAGTTTGTGAATGGGGATTAACGTACTCTCTCTGTTACATTTAACCGCCTGGTAGCTTTTAACGGAAGATACGATGAAATGTGAGACTTATCTTTACGGTAAACTAAGTGCGAGGGTCGAATGGTAGGTCGAGTTACAGAATGAAATGCTGATACGGGAACAATCATTTTAAAGGTTTTGCTATTATCCCACAAACACACACACACACACACGTTCCCCTCTGTCTGGTAATCCTAAATGTAACGTTTGGAAATATGCACTCTCACACAAGCCGAGTCTGAGACATCTGCATAGAGGGAATAAAGTGCTTGGAAAGAGGTTAAATGACATCACAAGGACACATTATTAAATTACGAAAGACATGTTTAACTAAGTTTGAAACTCAATGATCTGTAATGGGCATCCTGCGGCCTATGAAAGCCTTGCCATGGAATAATCAGTCTCTCTCATTTTCCCGTAACACACGCATACGGGAATATTGATAGGTCACGAGACACATTCTGCATGAAACCATCAGCCGACTGTGGCGGCCTGTGAGTAGTCTGTCTACTTGGTTTGAATTTCAAACACTGGCCAGCCAGAGTTTTAGTTGACTTACATTTATGTATTACACCATCTCAGTCAGAATCTATTAATACACTTTTTGATGAACAGCAGATCTTCCGGGCTATTGGGCACGAGCCGCTCTTCCTTCCTTGGTGTCACAAACTACAGCAGAGGGGGAAAGAAATAGGTAATCCCTATTTGCTATTTGGAATGCTGCCCATCTCTACCTGTTCTCCGGTGCTCCTTATTTTTTCATATCCTCAGGCTGCAAATCCTCATATTTTCTTTGCAAAATGTGCCTAAACTGTGGCAATAGCTATTTGATTACTTCTAAAAGAGTTCTTCACACGCAGACACACACACACACACACACACACATACACACACTATGGCTTTTATGTTAACCTCAACAACCCAAAAAGAAAAAACATTTTCTGTGGATCATTAGCCGCATGTATTGTGTGCATCTCACGGCGTTCCTAACCAGGTCGAGTAATCTGCCAAGTTTGTGTGCATGTGTGTGCGTGTGCAGTTTTCCTTTAGTCTGTCTTCTCGTTTCTGTCTCTCCGTCCGTTCAGCTGACCTGCAGATGAAAGCAAACTTCTTACACTTCATCTCCTTTTGATGCCTCTGCAGGCCCGGTGTTGAGTTGAGTTGCAGACCGAGCCCCTCTCTGGCTGGGAGGTAGGTTTAGGTGTGTCTCCCAGGCTGGAGGCGGAGATTTGAATGCACCAGGTGGAGATGATCTGGCGATCAGGGGGGTTGGAGTCACTCACTCACAGGACAGTGAAGAGCGAGCAGTGTGAGAAAGCGAGATTGAAGAGCTTGGAAAGAGGAGACTGCAGGAATAAAGCTTGCAAAGACTGAAGAAGGAGCCGGTGAGCTTTTAAGTGGCTGACTACTTATGGCATCAAATGCAAAATCAAATGTCCATATATTTAATGAAATGTGTTTTAAAAAGTATTCAAGCTAAAAGTAATTGGATAAAAATTGATTTGTGTGTATTCACCGGAGTTAAAAGCTGCTAAAGTTTATAAGGTTAAAATCACCATTAATAGTGTTTTAAAAATGTATTTAATTTAGTATTGGGATACTTTAAATTTGGGTTTTCTTTCTACTTATTTTTGAGGTTAATTTCCAGTAGATTCTAAATTAAGTATGTGATGTTGGGTATGTGAATTGATTATGGTTTCTTGGGTTATATTTCTTTGACCTTCCATTCGTGTTTGTATTTCAAGGTTTTTCACCTGGTTTGACCTGGACAATTTTAAAAATAAAAAGCAAGAAAGCAAAGAAGTCATTGAGTGGAATCCAGTCTACACTTCTTAGCAAGCTGCCCTTTCAAGTGGGGAGCTGCAGTTTGAACCTCACAAAAGTGAGACACTTGACAGCCGGTTATCTCAGAATGCTGTATCCGTGTGCCCGTGTTTACTGGGTACGCCTGTTGTTGCTGCCTACAAAAAATCTGAATAGGGTGACAGCATAATACTCCCATGCTGTTGTAGTACTTGATTAAATACAGCTACAAGGCTGAAATGGGTGCTGTGTTTGCAACTAAGGATGTGGGAATTGTGTGTGTGTGTGTGTGTGTGTGTGTGTGTGTGTGTGTGTGTGTGTGAGAGATAAAGAGTAAAAAGGAGAAAGCATGCTAAGGACAGACAGACAGAGAGAGAGAGAGAGAGAGAGAGAGAGAGAGAGAGAGAGAGAGAGAGAGAGAGAGAGAGAGAGAGAGAGAGAGAGAGAGAGAGAGAGAGGGAATATTTTCAAGAAATCCCAACAGGGTCAGTGTTACTGTGGTGCCATCTTCTGGCAGGGAAGCACAACAGCTTTGAATAAGAACAGCAAGCAGGCGAACTGGCTAAGAAGATACACGTTTACATCTAGAACATTCAAACAGGGCATCAATGAATGCTAGACTTAAAACATTGATTAAAAAACATGTATTATAGTAACAGACATCATTAAATATTCAAAATAACTGCAGGACTTGGGTTTTACATTTAGCATAGTTGATAAGTAACCAAACATGTATATTGAATGTACATTTAAACAGAGAAGAGAAGACAGTATTGTACAACCTGTAGAATATGGTAGCTTCTTTCAGTGCACACACATTTTTACCTTTTTACACAAATTGGGGTGTGGGGGGAATTCATTCAGCAGAGGCTTAACCACACACACACACACACACACACACACACACCCACACGCACACGCACACAACCCTTCTGCAGTTTTCTTTTTGCATACTGACACTGCTGCAGAAAAACTATAACACAGACACAAGGGCAATGAATTAATACATACGTTTGAGGATTTTTTTTTTTTGTTAGAAATAACGGTATGTACACATTGAGTGTTACTTTTTCTGCCTTTTAATCAAATCCTATGAAGCTGACCAGCTGTAAAATCATCTAATCTACACGGAATGTAAAAAAGCACATTCATATATTGACCGTCAATGGCATGGTGACGAAAGTAAATTACTGATAATGGACTTTTTGGTGTTTTCCTGCACAGTATATAACTCATCTGTGTAATACACCATTAACTTATCTTGCTTTAGATCTATAAGACCCAAATTATCTTCAGAGTGTCACAAATCCACTCATTAATATACTATATACAGTAAGGACCACTTTATCCAAGCCCCCTGGAGATGCCTGAAAAGGATGCCCTTCAATTTGCCCACTGAACAGTCTTCTATCAGACAGATTTCTATCGCTCTATGCAGACATGGACAGCATGTAAAAAAAACAGGTGTCCCGAGTGCACGGCCGAAATGACTTGGAATTAGAGGGTCTGGGTTTGGTTCTATTGAAATTGCTAGACAATGTCAGGGTTGGGGTAATATTTGAAGACCTTGTAGATCCACTGGGTGTAGAAGGGCACATTGATGAAGATGCCGGGCTGGTTGGCCCGAGCACAGCCTCTGCCATGAACGCTCACTCCCACAATCACCCGTATCTCGCCATCCTGGCACACGAGAGGGCCGCCGTAATCCCTCTGCAAGACAAAGAGATGGCATATTTTTCTCTGCGTCGCTGGTTGTGCTATTGTGGTTGGATTTATGACAGCGGGCGCATGGAAACAAAATGCTTTGCTATCTGATGAAATTCAGTGAAACAGCCTCCAGCTGCCGTAGTTAAAACAGCCTGAAAAATAAGCCTATGGATTCAAAGAACATTTGTTTGAGATTTGGATCCAACAGACAATGAATTCCACTGGGTACGATTGCTTTATCTGAAAGTAAAAAACTCTTCCCTTTTATTTAAAAATAAATGCCGCTAGGTAACAGTTTACCTCACACACTCCCTCATTCCTTTTGCCTCCTGCACAGATCTTGATGTTGGTGATGTGGAGGTTGCCTCTGTGCATCACTCTGCACCTCACATTACTGACGATGGGCAGGTCGGCCGCCTTCAGTTGGTCATCATGTCCAGTGTCTGAAAGGGATGTGGTTTGTCTTTATTGCCTGATCGTTTTTTGCATATGCAATGCAAATGCCACCAGGTTTTTAGGCCTCATTCCGATAGAAAATACATATAATTGAGTGTCCTATTTTTGAGAAAGCAGGGAGTGAAGTCTCAATTGTTTGTACAGAGATCATTGTGCATTTGAACTATCAAAAATATCAATCTCCGTGGTCCCGTCTGTATATCAAGACAGCCAACAATCAGTACTGACGCAGAGATGAGAAATCCTAAGCTTCACGCTAACCAATTATTTGACTCAGGGCTGTTTTTCAATATATTTTTTCACCTTCAGAATAGTACAGGACTGTTGCAGGAGAACACAAATGTAATATACTTCAGAGCTCGGGAGTGGAACAGTCGTAGTGATTGTAGAATGTATTATAACAGTACCTTTTGTCTCTCCCCATCCATACACTTTACATATTGTTCCTTCTGGGATGGAGCATCCTGCCATAGGTAACAGAAGTGTGTGCACATTGTCTGCAGGGAGGGCAGGCCTGGATAACGGACACGGGAAGTGCATCGCTCAGCATCACGCACAAATGTAAAGTATGTCAATAAATCTTTGAGATTATTTTCCAAGGTACTCACTTAGACAGCCTTATGAGGGCTAAACTTGAGCCCTCAGGACCACATATCACATCGGCTATGTTCACTTCCTGTCTCTTGGACCAGTCGGGAGCGCCTTCTCCGATATCCAAGACTCCCAACCACACCCGATACTCACTGAGGTCTGGCACACTGCAGAGTTGATAATGGACAAAATATTCCACGTACATTAGTCTCTTAGACGGGTCAAGAAAGACAACGGAAACTAACTAATAATCCATAAGGTCTAAATGATTGAAAACCAGAATATTTATGAGTCCCACAAATGCATCTTAAATCTCGTACACATGCTCTGACAGATTAAGGTTCAAGCAAAAAGGAAATATACAGTGGACATTTTTGTTACCATGAGGAGAAGCATTGTCTGTCAGTGAGTACCCACTCCTCTCGTATTAGTGAACCTCCACACCAGTGCTGCGACCTGGAAAGAGGAAAGAACACAAACAACACATCAAGGAAAGCTGTGCAACACCATATGCAAACAAATACCGTCAATGCTAAAAAGAAATTGCATTGTTATACAAGTATGTCCAATTTGAGGAGAGGGACGTAATATAATGCAATGAAAACCAGCAATAATTTGCAGTGAAACTACAATTCTGAAGGGCTATTTTGTTGTTTAGAGTTTCATGAATTTGCAAATGTGGGCTTTGGTCAAAAGGTCCCTTTTACAAGAAGTGTCTTCTTCTAATTAGGCAAGGCAAGGCAATTTTATTTGTATAGAACTTTTCATACACAAGGCAGACTCAAAGTGCTTCACACTATAACATTTCATACAATAAAGTGGAATAAAATGCAGGAATTAAAAGACAATTAAAAACAGCAAATAAAATTATAAATTAAAATCTTATTTAAATTGTTTAATTAAAGGCAGAGGTTAAAAGTGCAATGTAGGTAAAATTTAGTAGAAGGCGAAGCTGAACATAAAAGTTTTCAGTCTTGTTTTAAACGTGGTCAGAGTTGGGGCAAGTCTTAAATCTTCAGGAAGTTCATTCCAGCTGTTTGTTGCGTAGTAACTAAATGATGCTTTCCCATGATTTGTATTTACTCTGGGAATCAGTAACAGATTGGTGTCAGAAGATCTTAGTGATCTTGAATGCTTATGTAGTGGAAGCATATCAGTGATATACTTTGGCCCTAAACCATGTAGTGATTTATATGTGAGCAGTAGGATTTTGAAAATAATTCTCTGACATACTGGGAGCCAATGTAAGGATTTAAGAATTGGTGTAATGTGCTCACATTTTTTGGTCTTTGTTAGAACTCCAGCAGCAGCGTTCTGAACAAGCTGGAGCTGCCTGACAGTTTTTTTTGGAAGACCTGCAAGGAGACCATTACAATAGTCTAGCCTACTAGTTATAAAGGCATGTACAAGTGTTTCTAAGTCTTGAGCTGACATGAGCCCTCTAAGTCGTGCTACATTTTTGAGGTGGTAGTAGGCCGATTTTGTTACTGATTTGATGTGACTCTCCAAGTGTAAATCTGAATCCATAATAACCCCCAGATTTCTGGCTTTATTTGATGTTTTCAGGGACAGAGAGGGAAGGTGTAGGGTTACTTTAAACCTTTCTTTTTTAGCACCAAATACAATGATCTCAGTTTTGTCTTCATTTAGTTGTAGGAAATTTTGACACATCCAGTCTTTGATTTGCTCAATGCACTGGCACAGAAGATCTATGGGGCGATAGTCGTTTGGTGATAGCGCTACATAGATTTGGGTGTCATCAGCGTAGCAATGGTGGTCAATTTTTTTTCTTTGCATGATTTGTCCTAGTGGGAGCATGTAGATGTTGAATAAAGTCGGACCTAAGATCGAACCTTGGGGGGCTCCACACGTTACGTCGGTTGTTTCTGATACAAAGTCACCAATGGAAACAAAATAGTTCCTGTCTTGTGGATATGACCTGAACCAGCTTAAGACTGTGCCTGAGAGCCCCACCCAGTTTTCCAACCTGTCCAAAAGTATTGAGTGGTCGACAGTATCAAATGAAGCACTGAGGTCTAATAGCATTAATATTGAAGTTTTGCCAGAGTCTGTGTTAAGACGGATGTCATTTACAACTTTAATAAGGGCCGTCTCGGTGCTATGAAAAGGTCGAAATCCTGACTGGAAATTGTCGTGGCAGCCAGTTGAAGCAAGGAAGGGTTGTCGTGGCGCAGGGGTTAGAGAAGGTGTGCTAGGAAGCACAAGGTTGGTGGTTCGAGTCCAGCCTGCCCCATGTTCCATGTCGAAGTGTCCCTGAGCAAGACACCTAACCCCTAATTGCTCCCCAGGCAAAAATGTGAAAAAGCCATGGGTTTAAACTTTAAACCCATGGCCCAACTTTAAACTTTAAACTTTAAAGTGTAATGTAAGTCGCTTTGGATAAAAGCGTCTGCTAAATGACCTGTAATGTAATGTAATGTAATTAAGTTGTTGTAGGACAACTTTCTCAATTATTTTACTTATGAAAGGCAGATTTGAAATTGGTCTGTAGTTGTTGATAATAGAGGCATCTAGGCTCCGCTTTTTTAGGAGAGGTTTAATAAATGCAGTTTTGAAAGCTTTTGGGAAATGGCCTGTCTGAATAGAGTTATTAACTAATTGCAATATGTCTGTTGCCAGGCAGTCAAAAACATTCTTAAAGAAGTTGGTAGGTAGAGCATCAAGGCAGCAGGTGGATGGTTTTAAATTTGTCACCGTTTCCACTAGAGTTTGAGAGTCTATGGCATTAAAGCTTGTCGTCATTGCTGTGTTACTTTTGCCTAAATAGGGTGGTGATCCAACATTTTTGTTTGAGATTTTAATGGCGCGTCTGATGCCTTCAATTTTATCAGTATAAAAGAACGCAAACTCGTTGCATTTCTGTGTGTAATGGAGTTCAGGTGGTATTTGTGTTGGGGGGTTGGTCAGTCTGTCAACAGTTTTAAATAGGGTTTTTGCCTTATTAGTGTTGTTGTTAATGACGTTGGAGAAGAATGTTTCCCTAGCACTTTTTAAGTCTAAATTGTAGGCCCGAAGGCGCTCTTTATAGATGTCATGGTGAGTAGCCTCTTTCACATGTTGAGACAGTTCAAATGTGTCTAAAATAATCAAAAGTTATTTTGCACCCTTGTCATTCAAATCGTCAGTATGTTAAAGTATATATATTAAAGTCACCAGTTATAACTAGACGGTCAAAGTCGGTAGAGATGCTAGACAATAATTCAGTAAAATCATTGAAAAAATGTGCAGAATATTTAGGTGGCCTGTAAATAATTACCAGGAGAACTCTGGGAGAACATTTCAATACAACACAAAGATATTCGAATGATGGAAAATCCCTAAGTGACATCTGTTTCCCCTGAAATATATTTTTTAATATAGCAGCAACCCCTCCGCCTCTTTTTCCAGATCTACATACATCAATAAAGTTATAGTTGGGGGGTGCTGCCTCAATCAGAATGCTTGCACTGTTATTTTGTTCTAGCCATGTTTCAGTTAAAAACATAAAATCAAGTTTAGAAGTGGTAATAAAATCATTGACTAAAAACGATTTGTTATTAAGAGACCTAACATTAAGCAGAGCCATCCTGATGTTGTTATTCACAGGCTTTGGGGTTGACTTTGAGCTGGAGAGAATAGGAATGAGATTTGTTAGATTAGCAGTGTGTCTAAGTTTCGCAATGTTCACTCTCTTGGTGGTCACAACAGGAATGCAGAAGGTGCCATGTTTTGACGTAGGCGACCTTGGGTCCAGCTGATAATGCGGTCTACTGCTGAACCCTTTTCTATCTCAGTAATATTCAGGGCTGCTGTCAGGAGGAGGAGGGGGTGGGCCTAAGGGGGGGAGTGAGCAGCGTCACAGCTGGGATGGATTTGTGGAGGTGGAGGTGGAGAACGTCTTCGTAGAGGTGGGGGGGCAGATCGGCGTAAGATGGCGTCACCGCTGAGATGAGCTGGTGCAGGTGGACGCTGGGGGGGAGGGCGCTGAGGTCAATCTAAGGGAGTAAAAATAGGAGTAGGGCGGGGGGTAAGTGGGGGTAACTCTTGGAACTCCAAAGGGGAGGAGGGGGGAGAACAGGTTTACTGAAGGGAGGGAGAAAGAGGGAGACGTGGACCTGGATGGGGGCTCTGGGGGGGGTGGGAGAGGGATCCTCACACGTAATGGAAGGAGGGTTAGAGGGGGATGGCAATGGCGGTCCTCCTTCCACGTTTCTGATAAGCTGTGTTTTCTCTTCCTTAGGTGAGTTATACTTCTCTATGAAGCTACTGTTTGCACCATGGCTGCTACTGCATCTGAAAGAATGAAAATAAATCCACATGTGCTCAAATAGCTGCATGCATGTGAGTCAGGGCAAAGTGGAAAGGCCTATGGAACAGCACCATTCACTTTAAACAAACATAAAAACTGCTCCTAAATGCAGCAAAATGTGATTAACTGCGGATGCAGTATGTGGCGATCAAAATAAATAAAATGGAACTTTAAAAGTTACAATTCCATCGAATTTTGTTATTGTCTGGAAAATATGTTGTATTGTTCATCATCAGTGGAAAATGTGTAGAACACCAAATGCACCGTCATACCCTTTCTGTATGCTGACCATCCAGCTGCCGTCTAATACGCCCACCGGACCCCCTCCCACAATTCTGGTTCTTTTATGGACAAAACACCCCACAGAGGACAGCTCAGCTGGAAAAAACAGAGACACATGCATACATACATGTCATGCATACAATTGAAGACCTTCACTGGCACACACATGATGACAAGGAGGCACTGGAGCAACTAATGATCCGCTATAATAATAACAAATAATAATAATATACAAATAATAATCATTACATATAAAATGCAACCAGTCATTGTGATGAGGCAATTAATTAGGGTTAATTAAATAATGTTCCAGTACCTCACAAGTGTTATTTGAACTCTAAATGTCAAGAGGTTGAAGGGTTTATCGTCTGTTCTTGACTTATTATGTGCAGCAAAATAGGTCCAACACATACAGCCCACTAACACACACAGACTCTTATAGACGCACACACACACACACACACACACACACACACACACACACACACACACACACACACACACACACACACACAGAAAACACCTTCACCACGTATACGTTCTATAATAGCTGCATATAAAAGGGACTCCACGGGGGTTCTGAGAGCGCCCCTACTGGCCTTGGAGACTATCAAATACGTATCAGAGGCTGAGCAGCTCGTAAACACGGACACACAGACGAGCAGACGAAGCCACTCACCCGGTGGGATGTTGATCTGCAAACCTTCACCTGCAGAATGTAAAGGAGACAAACAAGGGATAAGGGAGTGTTAACTAATGCCATAAATGAGATGACCTTGCGGAGGAATGTAGACTTCAGACTGCCTATGAGGGCCCTCGTTAGCTCTGGCTTTTGGTCTGTGTAGGAATTGCTAGAAGGAGCCCATCCCCCGTTTTTTTGATGAGTTGTGAATCCCCTTCTGACCAACACTGACCTGCTAAACATATCTACACACTCAATTTCTTTTCACTGACCCGATATGAGATTGTGTGTGACGTGTCACTTGCACACACTCCCTTGTTGCACTCACATGGTTTGATATGACAGTAGTCCCAGGGACTGGCAGAGTTGTTGGTGTAACACCAGGGACCATGCTTGTCTTTGTCTGGGTTTCGGCAGTAGCTTCCCTCCAGGCCGCCTATCTGCACGCCCCTCTCGCCGCTGGACAAGCACCCAAACACACAAGATCCAATAACTCATCTTCCCAAAAGAACATATTCAAAACAAAAGGACCACTTCCCCCATTATGGAGTCGATAATCTGGCTTTTAACGAAAGTAAAGGGATTTGTGGTGATTTATAACCATTAGTGAAAAATGAACACATTTTGCTAGATAGGATCTGAACAGTCAAACTACACAGCTGTATAAACTCTGTCCATCTAGACAAGATAAAGAGGTCATTTGCAAAGGAATTATTCACTGAGACAGCTTGCACCCACCTACACTCACACATTGAATACAGACACACCCCTTACATGAGAGTATGCACATAAGCATTTTCCACCAACAGAACTCTTTTCCCACACTGAACCTGTTGACCGATAAGGTGGAGGATTGTAAAACAAACAGATATATAGGAGAAGGATGCCGTGTACCAAACCACAGCGCTCCAATGTGTGTTGTTTTCCAGCAGCTAGCATAACAGCAGGCTCTCCGTGTGACCCCCTCACCCTGACTTCTGACCGCTGGGCAGGAGCCAAGCAGTGGAGCTAATTGGCTTTGAAGGGTTCCGACAAAAGGAGGGGTTTGGGTTCAAAGGTGAGGACTGAAGTGAATATACCCCTGCCAAGTTATCACTCTGAGTCATTCCTGCAGAGTTAGGTCATATTTGGAGAAACACTTATATGGCCATTAGAAGATGGTGGAGAGGTTTAGTGATGGAACCCGCAGGAGCCATTTTCTCCTGACTTGACCTGCTAACAACGACATTAAGATGTAATAGAGGCCTCTTGCACTAACCACCACGTCTCAGGTTCCCATATGATTCCCAGAAACATGGCCAAATTCTTCTGTACGTTAAGGCTGTGATGCACTATCTTGTAACACAAAGAGCTAAGGAATTACTGAGACACATAAAACGGGAATTGTCTGCCCATTATCACTGATTTCCTTTTGATCCCATTGAGCTTTTAAATAACCTGTATACTGTGTTAGACTCTCTCTCGTTGGTTACATGTACTAGAGCCTGGATGTCTGTTTTAGGCCGACGCACTTGTCTGGTCGGTTGATTAGGTTAGAAAGAAGCAGGTATCCAGTGGGCTGACCTGTTGTTACGGTCTCTCCAAGGTGCGCAGGGCAGGTTTGATCTCGTCCTTGACTGCTCTCCTTGGTAATTCTCCCCAAAGCCTTCATAGCAGTCTGGATTTGGACCAAAAAAAGACAATTAAAATCAGACAATGCATACCAATCAGTCAAACATACATACATACATCTTAATCCCAAATCTTATCACTTTACCTTCATGCTGTATTAGTATGTTTGTGGAAAATTGTTAACATCACCACTTAGATCCTTCATTCATGCTGTTTTGTGAGGTCACATCTGATTGACATTTGGGTGGGAAAAAAAAGTTGAAATTTCTGCCACATTTGTACACATTATATACATATATAGCAATTTTTGTAGTAAAATATATAAAAGCTATAACATATATATTTAGGACATTGTTTCATTCTTGTCGCATTATACCATGTTGTTGATAGAAATAAAAGTGAATAGTGAAAGTTATATAATGAGTAAGTAATAAGTAATGAACAGTTATACTCATCCAACAGATGCAGTACAGAGCCGATGCGCCTGTGCAGCACCTCATATTTAATTGACGTCACTTCAAAACGATGGTCGTCATTGGATCAAGAATGAACCGGACTGGGAACATAAAGTTCACAGTGATTCCTTAGAAATAGACGGCTCATAAATAGAGTTTTGAAGTCACCCCGCATCTCATTTCATTATGGGAACGTATTCTATCCACCAGAGTAGACCGCAACACAAGGGGATTTTAATCCCAATGCAAGGCCGCATACTCTAAAAGATATGCCGCTAAGATTCCGAGGGACATTTTTTTCTACTCACTGTTAGATCTACATATTTCACTTAAATCTCATTACCCCAGAAAATCCCATCCAGCACTAATCCTCCCACTCAATCTTTCACTGTCCAGTGAGACCTGACAATCCTGAGCTGCTGTCAGAGCTTGTTTATGTGAGACTAGGTGGTCAGTCATTCCCACAGACCTATAGGGCTGCAGTGCTCCGCCGGGACAGAGAATACATGGTTACAGGCCAATATTAGTACTCACAAGGTCTCATGTGAACTCATCTACAAAATATAAAAACATGGGATTCACTGAAAATCATCTCTCTCTTCTTAAATGTGAAATAAAGCTTTCGCGTCTCTCACCACTGACTGGATTGTTTTGGGTGCCGCACCGCGGGATGTTGTTGCAGAACATGGTTTGGACTCTTGGGTCCGTAGTGAAGCACCACGGGAATTCTCGGCCATCTGGATTCCGACAGTAGTTCTCTCTCAAGTCTCTGGAAGACACAGACAAAAGTCGTCCAGGGATCTGCTTAAAATGCACGTGCGTGCAGGCGGGCGAGCGAGCGGAGATGCTGTCTTCTGCGCGAGTCCGACTCACTTGCAGGGGTAGGCTTGAGGTGTGAACGTGTGGTTGTGGGGATACTGAGAGTCCCAGCGTTGGCAGATGAGCCCGGTGGGCATCACGTCTACTGTCCCCCGATAGCCCTCTCCTCTGCCCTGGTAACACTCAGTGGTTTCCACCACATTTCTTTTTGGAGACGTTTCTGTGAAACAGCAGAACAATATTCAGGTGTGAGTTACTTTGAAAAAGGTAATATAGTGCGTGTTTGTATTTAATTACTTGAATGAACGTGAACGCACAGATAGGACAAATAGCTCAATTAAGGTATTTAGGTAGTTATCCAAGTAGATCTTGTTAAGTTTCAACTCCTGAAAAAACAGCTTTATATTCTGTATTTTCTCACCATGCAGTTGAATAAAAACCTAATTCTTTTTTAAAGGGGGGATGAAGAACTGTGAGCGACCGTGAAATGCAGAAAGAACTGGAGGCGAACGTGACTGTAACACTATGCACACTACACATTTTCTTGCTTTCCTCCCAAAGAGCCTCCTCAACGTATTTAGAGGACTGACCGTGTAATGAGGCTGATATGGACCAAATTGGAAAAGCCAAAAATGTGGAAAAATGTTATCGGCTCTACTACTCTTTATAGAAGAGCTCCTCATTACGCACAAGCTACACCAGTTCGATAGCCTGAACATTGTGCATGATTGTATCCAACAATGTGCAAAGCTGCAGATCTTCAAGACTCAAAAACAGACATTTTCTGCCCATACAATATGTCTAAAAATAGATATGCACTACTGTTGCCAGTAAACAAAAAAGCAGGCCTTGACAAAAAAACATTTTCACTCTCTTCTGTGCCTTTTTTGGATTAAGACTAACTGGGTCGTAAACTTGGTCTGTTCTCAACAAACTCCTATACTAGGGAGTCAGAGAGAGGAAGATTTTTAGACAAAGGAAATTGAAGAGGGGAACATTGAATCACTGGGTCCACATGGAAGAAGGCCATCTAGTAAACACGGTGCCAGGACTGTTGATGACTTTAGCAGGAAAAACAGACCAATCACAAACTGGGAGAAAGAATCTGAGCCCAACAATAACACGAATGCTCGCTCTGTTTTATGTTCTTTAGGACCACAGCGTCTGTCTCAGAGACTCGTCCTTGATTATAGGTCAACAAAGAGCATGATGCACTATAGATTATACATAAGCGTAGACACAAAAAGACGTGACATACACACCTCGCTCCAATAAATCAATCACACTGCTTACGAAAGAGATTTACTGAAAGTGATCTGCTTGTAATATGCGTGACCTTGGTGTTGTGTCTGCATGTGCAGGAGGTTAATGTGGAGGAGTAACTGAGCCCGGTGCAGTACGACCACCATACATAAGAGCTGGCATAGAACAATAAACAGCAGTTCAGTGGCGCTGGGGGGGGGGGGGGACATAAACATTCTGGCTATTAGAGAAGACATAACAATGTCAAACCAAAGATGGGTCACTGAGTGTTTGAATGTGCCTGTGTGTCTTTTCCATAGTTTCAGCCAATGAAAGTTGGAGGAATGGTAAAATGAAAGATACAGGAAGTCGTAAATGCTGGTGCCGTCAGTCACACTTGATGGTCCCGTACAGAACACAAACACAGCCACCCGCAGATATGCATGTTAAGACTGCAGCTTAACGTGCATGCCATTCAACCACTCTCAAAGAAACATTCATGCACGTTTACCACAAACTTTGATGTCGCAGTACTCCCAGGGTGTGTTTGGGTCCGTTGTAAAGCACCAGGGGTTGTGGCGTCCGTTTGGGTTCCTACAGTAGTTGTCATCCAGGCCTTTGTCAGGGTACCTAATGTAAAACATGCATAATTTGAATGCACACACCAAAGTAAGCTACGAGGTATTAACATTGCATAAAACAACTATCAGACTGTTGCACGAATCCTTTACCCAACTATCTTACCTGCACATACGTTATAGTGGAAAAAAACAGCCATTCTGACCTTTCTTAAAGCCTAGAGGTGCCTGAGAAGAAAAATCCTATTTCTCGTGTGGAGGAAGGAAGAGTCTACACCTCCAGCTCTGAAGATCATCCGTTGTAGACGTGAAAAAGTGTAGCTCGTTGTAGCATGAGGCTAATGTCCTTGCTAGCTCGTAAAGTTCGGTTACGTTGTTAGCTCGTCGCCAACGTCGAAGGCTTCACCACGCCAGCGAACAAGGACAGTCTGCCGTCTCCCCACTACAGTCCTCGATGTGCCCGCAGCTCACCTGCCCTCTCCCCCCCCCCTCTCCCCCGCCACTGACCGACGGTGGTTTGTGAGTAATACCCTGCCACACATGACTCCACGTCGTCAACGAGCAGCAACGTGTCCGGGACGGTAATGTTTTTGGGAACAGTTCAATACACGTGGAGGACCGTGGCTCGACCATTTTGAACTGAATGTGAAAACAGTGAACTTTAACTGTGGAATATGTTTATCATATTCAATGACATTTTGGTTATGGGTTTACAAACAATTTAATTGTATGTTTTTTTGTGTTAAGCTTGACCTGGAGTTTATTGCATTTAAGCATATATGTTGTTAGTGTCGTTACCCACAGTAGGTTAAGTGTGTGTCGGCACGGGGCATTGGTATTTTGTGTTAATATGCCCCTCTCAGTAGAAGAAACTCACTGGTAAGTAGGACAGGTGTCTCTGTTTAGAGTATGGTCAGGAGCAGTGAGAAATGTTTGTGTGAAATAATTGTTCTAAATTCAAATTAAATCAAACTTTTTCCTGGTTGGTTCCACCTGTTACAGTAGCATTAATAACTGAGATGGTACAATGAATCCATCTGTGAATCTGTTCAGGGCTCAGGGGAGTGAGGGAGATAACAGGCTGCACATATTCAGGTGCTCTACAGGAAGTCATCCCAAAGCGCCATGTCCCTCCAAGCCGGCAGCCTCCGGGCGCGCGGTATCGGGCCCATTGCATTAGTGCTATGGGCAGTCCGGGACCTCGTCTACACAAACATTGGGATGATTATGGATGTGTTAAATGAGTCCGTACTAATCCAGACCACCTGCTGGATGAATAGTTGTTGCACTCTCTTGACACAGAGGCACCTGGACACAGCAGAAACTCACGTACACAGACTAAAATGCATGGCCCTCTTAAAATAGCTATAAGCTTTTCTCATTCCCGGACGCAAGTCTGCTTTAAAATCTGTTGAAAGCGTAAAAGTATTTGTGCCCATTAAGTGAGAATTATGGGTTTTCCCAAAATAGTGCTGCAGTACAATTACACACTGCATTCTGATGGCTTCCCTTTAGGGAGAGGAACCCTGGCTGAATCCAAATTACTCCAGAGCTCCACAACCAGGGGAAAATATTGTGTGGAAGTTCTGTTACATAAGGTATTCTCATCAAGTTATTGGCTATTAAATCAAATATATATATATATATATATATATATATATATATATATATATATATATATATATATATATATACATGCATGTGATTGAGCACGCACAATTTAGTGTCATACTGGGGGATGCAGATGCGTGTGTGTGTGTTACCTTTTGGGGTGGTACTGGTGTTTGTGTGGATCATTCAGGTCCCAGCGCTGGCATTGCTTCCCACTTTCTGTGTGGTCCATGGGTCCTCTGTAGTCTTCGCCATTACAGTGAATACACTCAACTACACACACATGCAAACACACAGAGACACACACACCCATAAGCACAGAACAACAGGAACAGACAACAAACAAAAACTCCCATATCAAAAATGAGAACCAAGGTCGGGAGAAGAGAATGAAAATAAATAATAAAACTGGACATTGTGGATTATTCAATGTGATACATATTAGGTCATGATTTTCTCCCTTAAATTGGCAATACATTTATCTTTTTTGGTAATAAAACTCCCCATAAGAAAGTGATGCATCTCCCTTAAGTTCCCGTAGACACTTACTGCGTCTTGCACAAGTGACGGCAATGACCCCTTTGATGCAGAGAAGGGTCAGCGTTTAGCATGGTGACTAGCACGCACTGTCTAGTGTTAACAACAGAGAGCATGCAGATTACAAACAGATGTTTATGAGTCGACTGCCCCCATGTGTTGTGTGCATGTTTCCTATTACGACCCTTCCAGTAATTTCCTTCATAATCAGAGCACGGGTGCTTTATCAAAAGTAAAGCCATGATCTCTGTTGTACAACTTGTGATAAACTAGCAGGAAAAAACACGTGAGTCAGAGAGGAAGAATTGTTTCCATCCTCCTGATCAATGGAGCCAATGGGTCCATCATTAAGGTGCGCTCCAGAAAAAGACCCCTTGTGACAGCATGAATGCCCGGAGGATTGGCATGTTTTACTTCTTCGGAACAATCACTCAAACTGCCACAGAGATGGATAAAGCAACAAATTATCCAAAGGAGACAAAGGGGGGGGATTTCAGCTTGTTTAGGTTCAAACCATTTAAAAAAACCTGGACTAGAAACGTCTGTAGCTAGCCTCACAAAAACGCACATGTAGGGTTGAGCACGGTTAGAGCAGGTGTTTCTCTGTCCAAAAGAATATGTGAAGGCCTTGTTTGCAGCAGCTCATTCTGGACTATTAAGTGGAAACGTTTTGTGGAAATTTGCCATCCGGAAGGGACATTATTTGAAAGGAAATGTCTTCCCATGACGCGGATGTATCATGGGCGCGTTTGTGTCCGCGTGCAGCTTACCCTGTGAGCACTGGGGTATGCCACACTGCTGGTGTCTGAGTTTGGCCCGTGGGTCCATGGTGAAGCACCACGGGCCGACGCTGGAGTTGTCTGGGTTACGACAGAAGTTCTCTCTGAGGTCCTTCTTCCTGAATCTTTTAGACATGAAACTGTTGGAAGCGGAGCCGCAGTTACACAAACAGTAACATGAACCAAGACTGGTCGGCAAAAGATACACACCCAAAGATGACGGCGTCTGTTGTCTGTCTCTCTTTATACAACTCTAACAGAATGAGAAATCATCTGTTCATTTACGAGGCAGCTGCTGCTCAGCTGAAACGTGCCTGTAAATGTGTGAAAATTAACATGTGTAAAAGTAACCGACGGCCAAACTAAAGGGTTTGTATTAAAATGTGGAAGCAATGTTATTTTTCAGTGTGTGTTTACAGTACATTCGGGAAGCGGCCTCATGGAAAACTGACTCATACCTTCTACATCAGAGCAGCACATGGCTGCAGTTGCTGCGACGGACATATTGCAGTGAACCGTGAAGCTGTGTTTTTCCACATAATGATGACAAGATAAAGAAGTATTTCAGTGGAGTGGGTAATGACAGGTACCAAAGCGGGAGGCTCTTTTCTTGGAAATCAGAAAAGAAGAAAAACCTTTCATGGATAAAACAGCAATTTCTTCTTCTGTGTGTGTCAGAGTTTCCTCTGCCTGGGAGCCGACTGATAAAACATACAAAGCGACTGGGTTTAATCACCTGATCTAAAGAGACATTAAAAGCAGTCTGATAAAGCGTGTTCGCTGGAGGTACAAACGCACACAGCCCTCTTTGATTCGTCTGCTGCAGCGACATCTCACTACAAAGCTTTTCACGGTAATTTAATACCTTTGAGTAGAGGGGAGTCGAGAGGGCAGGAGGTAGCGTGTGGTTCAGAGAACATACGAGTCTAAGATTAAGTGTATGCTATGTGTCATTTCAGAGGTTCTTTGATTGTTATTAATATTGGGGAATGATAAACGTTGTCCTTTATAATACTGGAATTCCAATTTCCTCTCTTCACCCAAATATTGCTGTCTTTTTAATTTGAATGAAGATGATGGGAAGAGATAACATCCTGCATGTAATTTGTGTCATGGCTCAAATTGTCAGATTTGTTTCTACCAAAGTTACACCACACGTCATGGAGATTATTTATGGGACTACATAATTTTTTTTAAATGTAAAAGATAAATGTAGTTATGGCAATTACTAAAGATTTGATCATTTGGACACACACACAGCTAGATAAACAGTAGGGACGCAACAGGAAATGATCTGTGATTGTTTAAAATGTTACAATGGTAAATGGTAAATGGACTGTACTTGTATAGCGGTTTTCTAGTCTTCTGACCACTCAAAGCGCTTTAACACTACATGACATCATTCACCCATTCACACCCATTTACACACTGATGACAGGAGAACCACACACAGTGACACCTGCCATCAGTAACTAACATTCACACACTGTAGTCGCAGCTACAGGAGCAATGTTGGGTTAAGTGTCTTGCCCAAGGACACACTGACATGCGGGTTAGCAGAGCCTGGGATCGAACCGACAACCCTCTGATTGGAGGACGACCGTGCTCCTCACTCACCCACAGTCGCCCTGAGGTCAGTCAATGAGGTTAGTTCTAAAGAATGACTGCTCCTATGAGGCCAGATAAGCACTCAGACTAGCCTCAAGCTACCAGCTAATTGTATCGCTAACAGGCCCATAAGAAGCAGCTTCAACACCACTTCTGTGTGGAAAAGTACATCAGATTCTTACTTGTGCTCATGAGGAATCGGAGAGGCCCAGGCCTGGCAGCGGATTCCGCTCACTGTCGTCGACCTCCGCCCCCTGTAGCTCTCCCCCGTGCCCACAATGCACTCCCTCACATAGTCTGAAAGAGGGCAGGATGAGAAGAGACAGTGGGCAGAGAGACAAGATGATAGGGGAAAAAATGAGCGGGAGGAGCCAACAACCTTAACGCGGGTAATGTGCACACAGAGCCGATCGGAGATGGTGATGAAAACAGACAGAAGGAGCTGTTCGGCTGTAACGCGAGGCTTAGCGAGGACGGGGCGATGCCAGGAGAACTGAGTCGCTTTTCATCATGTTCCGCACAACATTTGGATCCAGTAAAGTGGGCTGCACGGCGTGCGTCTTCACTGACGTGGTGCGTCAGACTCAAGTGGAATGGGGGGGTTTCCATCGTTTACTCAAACTTATTGTAAGAAAATTAACGTTAAATTAATGTTTTGCCAGACAATAAACAGGACAATGGTTCTTGCCTTTCAATAACTTAAAAAAAAAGCATCTTCAAAGTAGGTATTTATAGAGCCATAAAACTCCTGCATGAATTAAATGATCAATGAATACGCTGCAGTGGTTCTGCTGACTGGAAGTGACACTATGCTGGGACTTCTTTTTTTTTTACTGCAAAGATATGGTGACAAAAGGGAAGAAAAGGTGTGGGGGGCACAAAACACCACTATGGCGTCTGCTGGTAGAGAAAAAAAGGGGTGAAAGAGGGCACCTTTCTTTTGATACAGTTGGTAGTTGAAGTCCTGTTGGCTCTGGGCTCCTGGCGAGTGGGTGTCAAACGACAGCCACTGGCATTTCCTGTTGTTATGGTCATAGAGGAATGCCCTGGAGAATACGGAGAGAATGAAAGGAAGAACAGAGAAAAAGGGGAAGTAGACATGAATATGATTTGCCTGCTGAACAAGACAGCGAAGGACCATCACTATGTACAGACAGCCATTCATTCGCTATGTGAGAGACTGACTTCATCCTCTAACAGAACACACTGCTGTTTAAAAGAGTGAAGCGATGAGAGCAAACATACCTGCAGTTGAAAGGAATTATTTTGTTGCGGCTGCAGGCTTTGGCACACTTTGTCAAGCTCCGTTTCTTGCTTTCTGTCAGTAGAGAGGAATCAGGAGACGCAACAACCAGCCGCACACCATCAGTCTTCTGGTAGTCCTGGAGTGCATTTCCATTTTGTTTTCCCTCTGATACACAATTACATAACATGTCCATGACCATTCAGCAGCACTTACACAGGCTTCCACTACAAGGCTGATGACCATAATAGTTTGCGAATTCCCTTTTTACGTGGATGATGCTATTTTGTATGGGACGTGAGAGACATTGAGATATACACGCACACAGTGAAGCAGTAATACAAGTTGCCTCAGTTGTTGGAAGCTTATTGCATCACTGCAAAATCAGAGAGCCGGATAGAATTTATATTCATTTATATCCAAGCGCACTTCAGTCGATTCAAGCGCTCGTCCCAACACAGAAAAAAAAAAATCAACCCTCAAAGTTGCGCATGTGTTTCTGATAGAAAGATGGCTGAGCATGTGTAGCTTCTGGGAAGCACGCGGGAGCTGTGGTAAAAACAACACGCGTGTGCGCGGGGATGCGCGGAGCCTCGTGGACCCGATCCTTTATCTACTTGTGGCCAGCGGGCAGCGAGCCGCAGAACCGCACTGTGTTCGCGCTGCCGCTTGCCTCAAGCACACGTTAAACATTGAAGGGGGATGATTTTCTTTTTTCTTTTTGTTGCATTATTCCTTTATCGTGGAGTTTGTCTTTCTCGTTGTCTCCGTGCGTCCTTGTGCCGTGTAATGCGCTCTGAGACAGCAGCGATCGCACCACAGCACGACTGATACCTTGTTATTACAGTTACTCATATCGTTTTTAACACGTCGTACAGGAAAGGGCAATTTAAGAAACGACTCACACTCGAGCTTTAACTCTTTCTAGCAATGGTTGGATTTTAAAGGATAAAATGGATTGGAAAACACGCCATGAGAAAGTTGTAATAATAAAGCCTCTCTTGTGTGTGTGCGCACACACCGACGCCTTTGTGGCACCGTCTCCATGCCCCGAGGAAGATGATACGGAGAGAAATGCGTTCACCCGAGCTTACCACAAAAAGAAACGACAAAGAGTCCGAAAACGAGCTGGTAAATCCACATCGCTGCGGCACGGCACGGAAGGACAGTTTCGGACGCGAATAGGACAAAAAATGTTGCGCGCTGTGCAGTCGGACTGCAAGATGTAGCTTCCACTACTGCACAGATGATGCATCTCTTCTCTAAGTAGTCACCACCCCCCCCCCCCCCCCCCACACCCTACCTCCCCCAACGTGTACGACTTTATCTCTCCGGCCCATTCTTTCATCCCTTCTTTTCTTTTCTGGCTTTTCTTTTCTGAGTTCTTTATTGGCCAGGAGTGTCACATGTAGTCTCAGTTAATATGGCAATAATTATATTTATTTAAGGTTCATCCTCCTCTGTCGCATCCCACTCAACCATTGACCCTTGCCCCCACCCCATGTCACCAAAGGTCATCAAGCAGCACAGTGTCTACTACAAAATAGATATTGGCCGGCACTTGTTACCACAGGGGAGTGTGTGGGGGTTGGTTATTGCCCCCCCCCCCCCTTATTTTGTTAAATAAGTACTGACTTTACCGGCGTTGGGTGGATGTGGACAAGACAACCCAATCCATCTCCTGAGTGACATCTCTATTTACAGCGATGACAGCAGGAGATAGGAAATTCGACACCCCGCTGGAGTCCCGGAGCAGCACACCTGTCCACCAGTGACAGTCTAATGGGGTGCACAGTAAACAGAAGTGCCATTACTTATCCAGCCGCAGATTGACAGTTACAGCATCCTGGGGATTACCAGTATTTTTATTTTAAACAGAGGAATTGACAGATTCATTTTTAAGCCCCTGCGGCTTCCTAAAGAACACCACAGAGTCATTTTGCAATAATAAACATCAGCATGAGCCAGATACTTTCACTGGACCAGAGCACAAGTCTCTTTTCTCTCACTCACTCCTTCTACCTTCAGTTGCGCACACATGCACATGCAACCCAACCACACATTCGTGGCTCTTTCATACATACGCGTCCAAGCGCTCTTTCTTTGAAGTCACATTTAGAAACAGGCAAGCAGATTCAGCTAGTTTGAGCCCCTCTGTGACCACAATCTCAATACTGACTCTCCCAGCAAAAATCCAGTGGGTGTTTTTCACTGCGACTGAGAGCCATGACTTCTGCGGAAAGATCAGCATCACCAAGTCACCATCCAAGACTCCTCACATCTGTGGCTGGTTATTGCCAGAAACTCCATATCGTCATGCAGTTAGTAATGGAGGGAGGAGCTCAAAGGGAGATGGAGAGGATAAAGAAAGTGAAGACGTTGATAGTGAGATAGCGTGGATGAAAAGCAATTTGAGTAAAAGGGATGAACTATGGCGGAAGAGCACAATGCAGACATTGTTCTGAAGGCTGGTCTGTCTGAGTGCGTATTTTTGGAGTGTGTGGAGTATTTCTAGACTTCCTGTGGATTTGTTTGGAAGTTTTTGTGTCCAGTGTGTGAGCCATGCATTGTGTGTGTGTGCATCCATTTGGTTTTTCCATCCATTTAGTAGTATCTCGTTTTGACCTCTATTTGTGCAGAGCAGAGGTATCTAAGGTATTTTACTCTAATGAATAGCTAAAGACATGTCTGGGTTGTGAACTGTGTGTGAGTCTGTGTGTGTGTGTGTGTGTGTGTGTGTGTGTGTGTGTGTGTGTGTGTGTGTGTGTGTGTGTGTGTGCGTGCGTGCGTGCGTGCGTGCGTGTGTGCGTGCGTGCGTGCGTGCGTGCGTGCGTGCGTGCGTGCGTGCGTGCGCATGTTGGGCTTAGAAACACAGATACTCTGTCAAGAGATCCTGTTTTAAACAAACACACACTTCCTGTTGTCAGTGCATCCAATTGTAGTCACTGCTCGTAATTAAGATCTGCTGACAGTTACAGCTAACACAAATAAACTACGCACATGCGCTATCTCTTCACAACAGTTTAAAAGAAAAAGCTTCTCGGTTTTGGAAAAACAGATCCTTTTTTTTCTCGCGTTCAGCCCTGCGATCTGCCTTCGAGTCACATTATCCTTTGACTTTTCAGATCACGGCAGAGACGAAACAGGCTGGTGAGATCAAAAAAAGCATTAAGAAAGACAATAGAAAAACCCTACCTGACACCAGTAAGAGAATGACATATAGTTTTTAACCTCGGTGAATGTGCACGACCCCCACAAATCTAACACCTCATGTTACCAGTTAATGGATGTTTGGCCCTTCTCTAAACACCAAAAAAAATCCACAAATCATCCCCAATCTATCGCTGGGATGGAATGTGTCCCGTTGAGACTGTTCACCTGGACAACGTCTTCCAGTGTTACACCCGCCAATCACACACACACAGAACACACACTCGGACGCACGCACAGCATGCTGATAAGCCTGGCATTTCCCGACAATGCCTGCGTGTGTGTTTTGTGTTCTTTGGCAACGTCTGTCAATCTTTCTCTCTCCCCCCATTTTGCAAATAAATGTTAAGGTTTCGGTTGGCTTGTGTTGTATGATTTAGAGTTCATTAGTGGATATCTAAAACAGAAAGATCCTCTCCAAATAGAAGTGGTGTCTCACGCAGGACAGCACAGGCGAGTTGGTAAGCGCTCGCTGGCAATGCTGTGAGATGTCACTGCACAGTGAGGCACTAGCTCTTTGAGGGATGTTGTGACCCTGATGCCTTTGCTCGGCGGAGGTTTATTGTAATGGAAAAAAAACTGTGACCTCTGTGTGGCTGCTTACGGGAAGTGTGAACTTGTTCAGCGTAAAAAAGTAAAAAGAGTGGAGCCAATTAAAAATCTTGCAGCTAAAGTATACAACATTAAAGTTCCCAGAAGTTTATTCTGAGTTGGGTTGATTGCCCTCGGGTTGTCCTGACCCAGGGGCTGCTGGGAGTGCTGGGGCTAAATATAAGACTAATATTACAATCAAAGTTATAAAGATAGCATTCACTGGTGAAGCGCTACGTAAATGGATGTTATATTACTATCGAATGAACTTTAAAGGGTTCACAAATGTCATGCTGTTCGTCGGAAATCCTGTCACGCGTTATGTTGTTGGCGCAGTATCAATCTTGTGTGTCCTTTCCTGCAATTAGTGTAAACTCAAAAAGATACTGTGACTTTTACTCCACCACTAATTGGTGATACAGCTACAGTGATCCCTCGCCACTTCGCGGTTCACTTATCGCGGATTCGCTATTTCGCGGATTTTCATATTGCATTTTTTTTTTTTGTTGGTGCATTGTGCTCTGCATTCTGATTCGCTAAAAACTCACTCCCGAGCCGTTCATTACAGTTCTCCAACGTAATCGATGGTGGCATGTCGGTGTACAAGGATCTTTTTGCAAAGAAGAAAAAAGAGCGACAACAGCTGCCTATCACTATGTTCTTCTCCCGAACAAACACACCTGCACCGCGGGCTTCAGAAGAAGAGAACACTGCAGAGCGCAGTCAGGATGCAGCGGCCCAGTCTGAAGAGCAGTGAAACGGCCTACACGCGAGTCACTGTATTTGTATACATGTAATAGTTGCTAATTGTAAAAAAAAAAAAAATTCTATTTCGCGGATTTCACTTATCGCGGGTCATTTTCGGAACGTAACCCCCGCGATAAACGAGGGATTACTGTACTGCTTTAAAGGCTTTAGATTAGATGACATGATGCAAATGCCATGAAACCTTTCTGGCCTGTAAGTTTTATTGCATATCCCCTCTTACTGACTGAGAGATTGCAAAGCCACCATATGTCAGCAATTAAGTTAGTTGTCACAATTAAAAATATTAATGGGAAGAACCACAAAACTGAGACACATATTGTAACAAGAGAAAAGAAAACATTTATTGTTGCACTTATTGTTTTTTTAGCCTAATAATGAATTGAAAAGAAAAGTAGAATCTGTCCTGACTTTTCCTGTGTCTGTAACTTCTTAAGTCAGGCATGTTAAAGGGTATGACCGTGTTACCATTTACAAGAGTATCCTGTTACAACCTACCTTCTACATATCCCTATGTAGGCGACGTAAAATACCTCCCAGTCTGAAATATCAACAAGAAAAAGGAAGCTTTTTATTCCCCACCATATTGATTTTTAGATTGCCATCACAAAAGCCATCAAGTGAAGTGCTGGTAATATTCAACTGCTTTTGATGTTAGCAGCTGTCAAACTACTGCTGGTCAGGCGATGGCTGAACTGTCTGTGACAATAATGTTACCAGAAGCATCCCAGAACTGGAAAGAATAGAATACGAGCATCAGTTAAGCCCTTCATTTGGAGGGAGCTTTTTTTTTTTTTTACAGTGATTTATTTAACTTCTCCCCTCCCTGCGGCGATGGATGTAGAAGTACAACCTGTTTGTTGGGCATAGTTAAATGTTTAACAGGACATTTACAAACCACAAATCCCAGTCATCAGTGATACTACGTGTGGTCAGTTGTAAAAGACATGAGAGGGTAATGAAGAACAGATTATCCGCCTGTAATCTTATTTTTGTGATAATATAACTCAATGAAGAAATTATTAAAATGGGATAAAGTAAGTTTAACCATCATGTACTGCATCCACAAAATCAGAACGACATTTGGAGGGAGCTTTTCTTTACAGTTTTTTACAGTAATTTATTTAACTTCTCCCCTCCCTGTGGCGATGTAGAAGTGCAACCTGTTTGTTGGGCATAGTTAAATGTTTAACAGGACATTTGCAAACCACAAATCCCAGTCATCAGTGATACTGCGTGTGGTCCGTTGTAAAATACATGAGAGGGTAATGAAGAACAGATTGGCTGCCTGTAAACCTATTTTTCTGATAATATAACTCAATGAAGAAATTATTAAAATAAGATAAAGTACGTTAACCAACATGTGCTGCAACAAACACACCAGAACGTTTTTTTTTTTGCGATATTTTTCTCCAGGAGGTGTGACATGTTTGGTCTGAGACAAATTAACTGGCCAGTTGTGACAATAAAAATGAGCGCCTCCGGTCCTAACAATACAACACTTTTATTGTGAATATATATTTGCACAATAATCAACACCATATTATAAACAACTTTTCTTTTCCTTCATTTTCTCTTTTATACAGTAAATAGTATCAGTGTACAAATTTTTACAAAAAGTATTCAGGCTAATCAAGTTCCACAAAAGAGTAATTTATGTGCAATAATAAAGCACAATCAGATCGGAGGTACACGCACATGCCTGCACATTGACACAGGACCCCCAGGTTAAAACACAAGTCAATACGCAACTTTGATAGACAGGCATAACCTGAATATTCAACCAGGTCATCATGAAGGCGAGGTGGAGAGGACTCAACTTTGTTTAAATAGCTAAAGAAGAAAAAACAAACACTACAGTGTGACCTTTATGTCTTGTTATGGTGATGTAAGGCAATGTGAAATTACCACCTCTAGTAGTGTAATCTCAAAGTTCTCTCCAACAGGCCCTGATGCTGATCGTAGCGCTCAAACACAGAACAAGCTCATCCCATGACAGCTTTACGACCCTGAGCCTTCAACGTCTGCTTCACAGCACTTATAGAGCAAAACGAAGAAGAAACGAGCATAAGGAGAACAGCAAGGAGATGATAACAATGAAATAGTAATTTCGATATGATGATCTCGTTCACAAGTCGTCCTGGATCCTGAGACTGGTGATCCAGAAACAGAAACAGGACCAATAGAGTGTTGTTTTGGAATACAAAGCTCAAGTTTGGTTTAGGTTTGTTTCGACCACGGAGAGAAACACTATTCTCCCATAATCCCAAATACTGGTTGTTCCTACTGCTGCCGGGCCACATTTAAATTAAATTTAAACAATTGCAGTAGATTTGGCCCTCATCTCATAACGTATTACTGCAAAGGCTACCTTCTTTGTTACACTGAAGCAAACCGTATCAAAGAAGCTTACACGGTAACAATAAAACTGTTGTGATTCAGTTATCCGACTGTTTGAGCTACTGTGCAGGCACTAGGGATCTGATGCATCAGATTGAAGACAACCAAAGCTGTCGGACCGAGTACAGACACAACAATATTAATCCACATTATCCCACTTACGTTTCGGCAAACGTTTTACTATGTCAATCTATTTAAAACAGCCAACATTGTAGCTTGAACTGGAGTGTGTATTCGCGGGTCCTTGGTTCTGTGTGGAGCTTTGGTGTCAGAGTCCTGGTGTCTTCTTTAGCTCTGTACTGAATACAACTGCTACAGTACAACGGGGCACTAGTCCTAAAACATTAGTACAAAATAATTAGATAAATACAGTACAGTACATTTAAAAAACACTTCAACCAAAGAAATACTCTTTGTAGTTGCACTGGTTGATAAAATAATAATTAATCGCAGCATTATGATTCATACGTATACTAAGCAAAAAACAATATCGACAATTTCACAAATCAACGCTGTCAGTGAAGAAGAATGTCATGTACATCCTGGATGGCATAGCTGGAGTGTTCTGGCCTCTTATGGGATGAGATGATCAGTGTGTGTGTGTGTGTGTGTGTGTGTGTGTGTGTGCGCGCCCGCGTGTGTGTGTATAGGGGTCATGAGGTTTGTGAAGCTGTGATGACCCACAGCAGTAGTTGGAGTCCAAGCATCGGCCAAAGACACAGGCTTAGGCTGGTCCCTCCGCCGCAGTCAGAATCATCTTCCTGTTGGACAAATCAGCGGTCAATCAATCAGATACACTTCTCCTACGTCCTGTAGCTGCACTCAAGCTACAAACATCAACAATAACAGTAACTTTGATTGAATATAATACTATGAATAATATTCAATTTCACTGTGTTGCAATATTGTATTCCTAACTCGACCTGTTATTTTAAAAGGCACAGTTCAACCATTTAATAGACGTGCTTATTCAGTCTCATATTTCAATAAAACGATGTTTTACGTGCACATGTGTGTGTACGTGCAAGCCCCCGGCTCAAATCTTTGTGGCATTTTTGAATTTGATGGGCGTGTTCAGGATATCCGTGCATGCCAAAGGCCTAGGAGCAAGAGGTGGGAGTCTTCCATATTCAAAGGGCAGGAAAGCCACGCTCCTACAAGGAGCTGAGACAAAAGTAATGGGACAGATAGAAAAAGGAAAATGGATGTGGCCTACTTTTACTACTGTTCAGTGACTTCACCCGGCCATTCCTCCCCTTCCCTTTGCTCCCCGGCATAGATTTTCCACAGTGTAAACATGCAGGCATATGAATTAGTGGCCCATTATGTGTGTGATCTACGTCTTTAGAAGCCTAATGGGAGGCTCAGTTCACATTCAAGTGCTTCGCCCCAAATATTTAGATGCCTATTAAACAAGTTGGGTGGAAAAAACAAGGATCTCACACAAGTTATCCACCTTGCTTCTGGCTTTATAGTGCTTTTCACATACAAAAGTCACAAAGTGCAAAGTGCAAAAGGAGGAACATTGCTAACATTAAACGCCATTTGAAACAAGTGAAAATATGTTAAGCCTAGATGTTTTATATTTAACAGACTCAAAAGCAACTAGCATGCAACTCCCCATATTGATCGAATTTCCCAAAATTGGAAATTCTGACGTGATGCATGGGATCCGATAGCCGACCTGCATTGATCAAACCACAAATACATGCATTCATTTTGTCTAAAAAGAGGTTATCGACAAAATGATTGACCAATCGGATGTCTAAGACTCAAAGGGAGTGAAGCAGTGTAAGGGGACTAAGCCTGAACTCAGCACCAGAAACAACAAAAGGGGTGAAGGACTCAATGCAGAACATCTGCTGATTGGGCACAAGGGTTTATCTTACCAGACCAGAGCAGCAGCCATTGGTATGTAGAACCATAAAAGAAAAGAATGATATATGAAGAATGAAAAGATCATGAAAAGCAAGATAAAATATTGAATGACAATTGTATAAAACATTCAGAAAATAATATAATATTTATTCACTGATGAAGTAACTGAATAAATAAATAAAGGATAGATTAGAGTGAAAAATGATTTGGTGCGTTGAATCTCTGCCGAAGGCTGATGAAACCAAATAGAAATACAACGCAGTGAAACCTCACTAACAATGCTGTCTCAAGCAATTTTGAGGAACATGTCTGGGTGTGTCTTACATCTTCATTGTTGTCGAAGCACACATCCGGCCCTTTGCGGTATCTGGGATTTTGAGCAAGCTCACATGGATCTGGACCTTCAGCTGAAGATATTCTCAGGAAAAAGCTTTCTACCATCAGCAATCCACATTTAACAATCTAAAAGGAAACCATTCAATTAACATAGAAGAGAAAGTAAAGGCAGTCCTTGAAATAAATATACATGATACTGTGATTGAGCAGATTGTAATGTCTGTCTTTGTCTTCCCCCCCTACATACAGTATAAACACCTGGAACGGACCTCCAGAGGTTTGGCACAACAGAGAAATGTTAATGGGAGTAGCGTGAGGCCTTCAAATGTCGTGCCCCTGGTTTACCGTTCACCTGTGAACATTCAGGGGAGACCTACTACAAACTCTTTAGGTGTGCGTCCTTGAGTCTAAAGCTCTGCCTGCCGTCAGGGGGTCGGACGGACGGAGGGCTGGAAAGCGAAAAAAAGCATGTTTGATTTTTACGAGCTAAGTGAAAAGATACAGGGTTGTTCCGCCTGGCGCAGCGGCCTGGGGTCACATGACAGACACGTTGCCTTGGCATCGGTGATCAGGAATACTAGGTTGGTCTTTGGCAGCTTCTCAGCACGATACATCCTAGAAAGCACAACATGCATATACTGGTAAACATTGAATTGAAAATGTGAGGGATATCGTGCTCCAAAAACCTAAAAAAAATCTAGTTTTGTATAACAAATGATCTACAAGATATCTAGCGCATACAGCGTTTCAATCTATGCGTACACAAAGGTATGTGTGCTCAGACGTGCACATATATATGTGCATTCATAGGTATTTTCTCCTCTTGGATTTGGCTTTTTTATGGTAGTACTGAAGGTTTCTGTGTCTACAGCCGTTGACATCGGGGGATAAAGCAGCAGACACGTGGGACTCGTAACATCCAGTAATCACAGACATATTAACCCTCTCCGGCGGCTAATACTGACACAGAGGGAGGGTAGAGAAAAGTGGATGTGCAGTGGTCTGTGAATGTGTTTATTAGAGAGTTTGAAGTAAAGCCAGAGAGTGAAGGAAGAAAAACAGATAAAAACAGATATTGTGCATCCCTCTGCAAATCCGGTCAGTGACACGTCAAGGTGAAGCGTCTTATCCGAACTCATCCGAAAAAAATCTGACTGGGAAACAAAACCAGGCCAGGAAACTAACACTATTCTGAAGCCGTCCCTGCAGACCAGTAAACTGGAGGATATTCAGAGAGAAGAGATGGAAAATCCTAAATTACCCAAAACATTTGCAGAGTCACTGAAAAGTGAACACGTTGAGGTAAACACCTGATGAAACCCCTACGTACCTGGAACAGTTTCCACAGTCGAGGACGCCTGAGTAGGATGTTTCATTATTGTCAAAGAAGTACTGTGTCTGCTCTGTGATGCAGCTTTCCTTAAACATGGCATCTGGTATGTCATCTTCCGCTAACTCCGCTAAAAATAACGGGTAGGTTTAATAGAGAATAACGCGAGTAAATGACAGTGAGAGTGGTGGGGTGAAAAAATCGTACCTTACATTTTACACAATCATAGCTTTTGCTGCTTACCTGCCTCCAGAAGGTTGGGGAACATGAGACCAAAGAAGAGCTGCTGGAGCAGAGACCTGGAAACGAGCAACATAGATGATGCCATCTTTAACTAATTCCACGTATAATAACAGCCACACATCTAGAGTAGATGAGGAGAAACAGTCATTCTTTTTTTAAAAGCTGGTTACTTAGCAGTTGGACGGTCACTCACACAGCGACGCGACATAATGTTGCCCGGCCAGCCGACTTTATTCCTAAAGTAGATATGAACTCACCAGGCAGCACTGGAGGCCCACCAGCCAATACTGAGCATGTCGGCAATGGTGGGCTGGAAAGAGACGTCGCGTATAATAAATACAAAAAATGAAAACAATTGTCATCACAACATTTAAAAATTGAGAATCAATGCAGTTTGCGTAACGTGTGACTTGAATAAACGAGAGACGGAGTGGCTGCGGTCTGACAGCTTGTGGGAGGGAGTTTTCTAACCACATAGACGGAGCGGGGTCCTGTTGCAGCCTTGCCGTCTTTCTCCGGGTCACAGATGGACTGGTAGTCGTAGGTCTTGTTGAACGAGTACAAGGAGGTGTTCACAAGGTTGATCATCAGTACAGGGTCCACCTCGCCAAAGAACTGACCTATCTAGAGGAGTTGCATGAGCAAGCAAAAGAAAAAGGTTGATACTGGCTTGAATGAGTTCATTCGCCATGAACACATTCAGTCCATGTAAACAGACAACCGCCAACCTCTTCCCCTGTTTCCAACCTCTACTCACGGAGTGTGGACAGGATGGATGTGTGTTCACCTGTTAAATGTATTAATGTTATGTTGCTATCAGTCTCGCAGTAGGTCTTGTGCCACATTGGATGGACGCTAAACCAACGGGCCAGTTTCAAGGTTAAGTCATTTTTTGAAGTCCTTCTGTGGGAACAGGTCACTGTAGTTACACAAGAAGAAACACCTGGAGGGGGATGGTCATGTTTGTGTAGAACCATTGTCATGGGATCAGTTAGATATTTAACCATTGTTTGTCACCGGCACCAACTAACCAAAAACTACATCCGCTAAATGTTTCGCACGGTGCCGATCGGACGGATAAATGACCATGAACTGTGCGCCAGACGTTCTGATGGTAAAAAGGATCAAAGACGGCAGATGTCCTGTCGTGACTGACGTGTAAATTTTCCAGACCTACTGTTTGTCCGACCGGCATAGCGGCCCGAAAGAGAGGAGGTAACACAGAAGAGCTGACCTCCGGCCCACACAGGGGACGCACTTCACTTTGCCTGTCTAAAATCTATGAGGACGCTCCCTTTGATCCTCCTGGACAGGATGGTGCTTTACGTTTTACGTACGGCTTTCAGGACATTCTCATTACTTTGATGATTCATGAGCCCATTATTTGACCTTTTGTGTGAGATTTATGGATGCCTGACAAAGGAGAGCGAGGAATGAGGAAAAGTTGAGAAAAGTAAGAATAAAAAATCCTAGAAAAATTGTTGACTGTGTCATAGCAGATTTTTCCATGTGATGATTTTTTTTTAACATATATATTATACATTTATGGTACGGTGAAGTAAGTGTTGACACTAACTAACCAGTGTGATGTACTCATCGTGGTTTGACATGAGAAGAAATCCCCCATCATCCAAGATGACACAGTCTACATGCTGTAATGCAAAAAGATGAATATTTAAAAAATGCAATTAATACAATTGGAAAATGGAAAATAATCTTGTATTATTTCAAAAAGAGATACTAGTCAGGCCTGACTACATTTTTATATTGCAGGCAATATAAAAGCATATTTCTTCTGCAAAGTTACATTTTATAAACAGGGTCGTCTGCGCAGCCATGGCAACCGAATAACATCTTAGACAAGACAATAAACACAACATTCTCAAATGTGATTGAATAAACCGTTCTGCTCTACCTTGTCATTCCTCAGACAGCCACAAATCTCATCTTTACACTGAAAATATAAAAAAGTGAGTCAGACAGCAAATGACTGTTGTACCATCGACACATTCGTCAAAGACGGTCTAAACAGCACAAACGCGCCTTATTAACACAACTTACATTCAGCTTCAGTGTAGCGTTCATAAAAATGCTCATCCAGAAGGAGACGTTGAGTTTCACTCCCACTACTAAAGAGAGCAAATCACAAAACAAGTTTAAGTTTCTCCATTGTACATTGCATCACAAGAAGCTTCACATCTGAGATTAGCGAGACTGACCAGCTGGTTTGATCGTGACTTCATCGATTGTGAGTTCCACTGCTTTGCTGACTAGAATTCCTGACTCAGTGACCGACTCCCTGCCCTCTGCTGCAGTGCAGAAGGGATACAAAAGAGACGGTAAACAAAAACCATGGCAAATTCACCCAAGTCATGTTGAAAATGAGCTTGGCATAGAACATTTCAAAAACGGGGCATCGTGTTGGTGCCCCGTTTCCATGTTGGGAAATTCCACAGATTTTTAGCTGCTAGTAATTTATCTGAGTGGAATCTGTGAGGCCAGTACATGTGTTAATCCCGTCAAGTGTGGAGGAAAGCACGGCCACATTACACCGACGTTGGCTCGGCCTAATGTCTGCTAGAGAGATCAGTGGAGATAACAGGAAGTACACAGCTGGGCGGAAAGGCAGGGGGAGAGGGGGAGAGTGGCTGAAAGACACAGCGGGAAAAGGAGAAGGATAAAGACAGTGGTATCGCAGGCCTGGGACCGCGACCTTTGCCAGCAGGACTGGGATGGCGTCCAAAGGCAGAGAGCAGGATAGGCCTCGTGCCAAAACCAAGATCTTCATACACGTGAGTGCACTGGCATTCACATATTAAAACATTCAGGAATACTTACAGTTGAAAGATGGCGCCGTGAAAATGTAGATTTTATTGTCCAGGGTCCTTTTGTAGAAGCTGGACTCATATGTCTCAGGATTCTCAGTCCACTCTTCCTCAGCACTAAAAACATTAATATAGTTACATCATGTCGTATATGGACCATTATATCCACAAACCACAACGAAAATGTGATTATCTGAACAATTTGTATTTTAATCTAAAGCCAAATGCTCGTCATTGGAATGCAAGCCACACCCATATGCAGTTGATGTATGTCAAGTCCAGATCCAGTAAAACCAATTACTGATAATATTTCAGGTTGTAAAGGAGGGTAGAACATATATTCATCTGCAGCTGGAATTTCATGTTTTGACCAAGTGGAACCCCCAAATGTAGTTGAGATAAAGCAGCAGCAAGGAAATTGAGGAAAATTAGTTTCCTGCTGTTTGGCGGCTGGACGTGTGGATTTTACCCGTATCCTGTGCTGGTTTGGCAAGCTACGGGACTTCAGCTTAAAGTTTTCTAATCCTCTATATTCTGTAAAGTAACCCAGTGGAACCGGTGAGTAAAGCAGCTAAAATGGGACGAATTTAAGAGCAGTACAGTCTGTCTGTACAGACAGATGTTTTCATTGCACACATTTACACCACCCGATATTTGGGCAAAGCATACCGTGCTGTTTCACAATGCCAGCACTAATGCTAGAAGTGAAAACTGAGTAGAAGGAGGGTAAAAACAGTACCTTCTCGGGTAGACTCTTGTTATTCCTCCATCCGTGGCTACAAATCTGGCCACTATTCCTTCCCTGAGAACATGGAAAACAACAGCAATCTAAGACATAGGCATAAATAAACTGTGAGACCAACTTAACACAAATTGTTTTATGACCGGCTTCACTTGTTTCTATTCGTCCTAATAACCCATTAATGTCATTCTTTTTATTTTCTTTCATAAAAACAGCATGTCATGGCAGAGCTTAGAATAGTTCATGTCATCGTGTCTCGTTTTGAAAGCAGAGACAGAATGAAAAGGTAAATCCGTGACTGTGACATACAAGCTGGTAAAGGGTAAGAGGTAAAATAGCATGTTTGGCACTCACACTGTCTGCTCGTTCCAAAGTTTAACCAGTTCAGCTGTGAGACCTGCATCCAGTATTAGTCGATTCACCAGGACATATTACCTGTGGATTAAAGAGGGGATACATTTTACCTACAGCGAACAGTACAACACCACAATAACAGTGATTAGTGGAGAAATATGGCATGGAGCAATGGAGGAGGAGCAACGTTAGATGACCCATTAGATGACGACAAATCAAACAACATGAGTCATTGTGTAGCACGACGACGATAGTCGTCTAGGAAACGCAGTCCGACGGGCTGATGTCCCTCTGCTTGTACCACCATAATCAAATGACGAAATGAATACTTTGACCATCCGATGCCGACCTTTGTGTTATCGCGGGTGGAAAATTACTGAAATGACTAACGGTAAAACATGCGGTGCGTGTACGCATACGCAAAAAGCATCCACTTCTACCAAGCTGTGCAAATGCGCAAAGAGAAATAAGATGAATGACTCACATGCATCTGGAGTGCTGTTGTCAATGTACTGACTGAAGTCGAGGAGAAACTCTGTGTTGTTGAGTGACAACTTCAGCTCCTTGCAGTACTCCCTGACGGAACAGTATCGATACACACAAGTATCAGCCCCTTGTTTGCTTCTCCCTAAGGAATGGAGTTTGATGGGATGCGTCAGGAGCACTTACCTCGGAGCAACGTAGGTGTAACCAAACTCATCAAACCTCTCCTGTTGTATGGTTTCCATGGCTTTTGAAAAAAACAGAAATAATTGGGTTTAGGTGGTTAAGATTGTGAATATCGGTTTTGAGCTTAAAGTGTGCTCTAAATTCTCATATTGGACAGATATTAGGTGATGGATCATGGTAGAGAGTGCACATTGTAAGGCATTGGAGAATGACTGAGTGAGAAGTACTTGCCGTCTGGCCTGTTGACACCGCAGGGAGACAGAGATGAGGAGAAACGGTTGATTAAAAAAATGCAATCATTATCTGAATAATTTCATCCCTTATAAAACAAGTTGACTTCAATTGTAAATATTTGCCTATATTACACATACAAATTATTACACATAAAAATTACACATAAAACAATATTCATTGTCCATCTGTCCCTATAGGCCAGGCAAGGTGTCTGTAAGTCCAATTTCTTTCCACACCATTCATTATTTTTTCTTATTTTTTGCTCTTAACGTTTCTGTCAAATCCCTTCAGACCCTGTATTACGTACTGCGTTCAATGCATTCATCACTGTTCTTTATGGGATAAAAACATTTCCATCCATCACACACCACCAGCAATCCTCCATAATGTATTAGGAGGATAAGTGGCTGCAGGAACCACCTGAGACAGATAGTATTGGGGGTCTGGCTCCAATGTTGAAACTCTCTACGGCTGCGATACTTTCTTTAACAGGCCTGTAAGCGTTCCGACGGCCTTCATGGCGCGGTGACAGACTCGTTATGGCGGAAAGGGAGTGATGCTGAGTTCGAAAACACAGTCAAACTCTCATCTACAGGAACAACAGAGCCATCAGCAGTTGATGCTTTTGGTGTCACATCGGAGTTGTAAAAATACACTAATGCCAAATGGTCGATGGTGCTGATTGTGGTGTGTTTTTTCAAATGAGTCATCCACCTATGCATCTATACAGTGCAGAGACGTCCAATCCATGCCTTCATCCCTCCATCCATAATCATGCAAATATTGAGGACAATCATGCTTATGGAAGAGCATCCCAAAGAGTGATGATCACAGAATACAGAGAATAGTGAGTACTTGCCCCAAGAAGAAGCTAAACGATCCCAGTGTGGATGCAAGCCAAGAGAAGATAATTTATATCAGAATACAAAGCATGTATAAAGAATTGTACAGTATCCTCGCGCTAATTACTTCAATTCTGAGCTATCGGAGACAAATGGAGGAAAAATATATTGATAAATGAGTTGAAGAAGAATAAAAAGGGACGGAAAGGGATAGTAGGAGGAATAAAGAGAACGAGTTGAGGACAGATTAACCAATCATGTAGGAAAACAGAGACAGAGTGAGAAAACAATCCAGATATAAGTGTGTCTGTTACCCCATGAAACCATTCAAGTATGGAAATAGAAACATAGCGGAAGTGCAGAGATGGAGAAAAAGAAAAGAAAAGGAGAGGCGGGTAATGAGATGGAAAGGATCAAGTCTAAAGGGCGACCGGGAGAGGAGGGGGTGGGGTGGGGGGGGGGGGGGGGGGGGGTTACGAACGAGGGGAAGTGCAAATTGCAGACAAGATCAAAAGAGCTGTGCTTGGTCTGCAGTGTGTTGGACGGGGAAAGCGTGTGGATGAGTGTGTGTGGGAGCGCGGGGGCAACTAACCGCTGGGTCACACACTACAAAAGGAAAAAAGCTTCATGGTGCCAATCTGAGCGGCAAAAACACAAAGGCAGCGCTTGTGGTTCCAGCTCGGAGTGAGTAATATCAAAGAAGGAGATACCGAGACTACGACCTACGACAAGTAGGCATGGGAGGGGCTTGTGAGGCACAAGCTACATTAGATATGCTGCTGAGTTTGACACAGGGGATGCGTGCTGTACTTACATATAGCGTTTTTCAAGTCGTCTCCCAGTTTGGCTTGAATGAAGTGCTCACTGTATCTCGGTAGAGCCAGAGCCAGGCTGCAACGTGACACGGTACAAGAGTTTTGAGGTTGGAGATGTAAGGTCTGGTTTGTGTGAATATGATGTCGTCAGACAACAAAAAGGTGATTCAAAGCCTGCAGTGTTTTCCAAAATATCCTTTGACTATCTTTAAAACAACCAATCAAGAGAAACAAACTTTTTTTTCTTTTTTTTCAGTGAACAGTAACAAAAATCTTTCAAATGCATTTTTTTCGACAACGAAATACAGACTTTCTGTTAGAAACAAGAGAGGACCTTGTTTACTACGTAGCGTCCAAATCTTCTCTGTAGTTAGTGCCGCTGCCTTTAGTACAGCGACAGCTTAATGAACCATAAAGAAATATTACAAATGATGACGTTGCTCACCTGTACTCTGTCCCATTGACCGGAGGCGAACGTGTAGGTTCTGACGCCCCGATTCTATGTACCGTGCCAAGAAGAAACCGGTAAGTGACATTCAACCACTGGCTCCAGAAACCTAAAATGCAATATACTTGTAAGTCCTTTGCAGTACTTAGTCCTACCCTCATCCTGAGTTTTCACCAGTGTTCGATGGTCACTTTGCCCGTCTCCCCCCGTCAATCATCATTCTCCTGGTCTATAGGGAGACATTTTAGAAACGACAGCAGTTCAAGCATCCTTGTGTATGACTGACAGAGGATCAGTATCATGGAAGACTTGCTGCCGTATAACCTCATGATAACGAGTTAGGGACACAAAAGTAAAACTGCCTCTGTCCCTTTCCTTGAGTGTGTGTGTGTGTGTGTGTGTGTGTGTGTCTAGAAAAATAATGCCATGCATATACACCTCTACCTCCACTTTGAGATCATTATCCAGCTCGGCATCGAGGAAGTCGAGGGTAAACAGGTTCCTGGAATTTAGGATTCTGTGGAAAGGATGATGTTGCAGTTGTAAAGTGACGACATTTAGGAAAACTTGGACACAGACAAACCCAAACCCCCAAAAAGGAACCCTATCGGCTCACATCGGGGGGGGGGGGGTTGGGTGAAGCAAAGTTAATATGTAATAACCCACTTTGTTAGAAAGCCAGCTGACTAGATGAGAATAAAACTATTATATTCAGTGGACCATTTAACTTGTATTCAGAGATGGTTCTCTTACTGTAGTGATCCGCCATTTTGAGTAATATGTTTGCATCTCAATACCGGGTTGCAGTGAATGAACAAACAAGTTGACTTTAGTGAAATTTGTTTTGTTCTATGTTGAAGAAATTGCAAAACAGTTTCTTAAAACATAAACCAAATCAAATCCATAGCATACAAATTAGAGGGTACCGTATGGCGGCTGTGACACCACAGCGCTGAATCAGACCTGATACAAAGTGACACTGGACCCTATTAATGTCTTCTCTTAAAAACCCACATGTCTGAGTGCTTTATGACGTATTAAATGGTGGCAGAATCTAATGCTTCTCTATAAAACAGCAGTACATGGAATCCAACAACACCAGCCTTTCCACTACAGCGGTTTGTTCATTCTGTACTAGGCCTTTCTGCCCAGTTTCTTATTTTTATGTTGACATATGCAAACACTGCGTCAGTAGATCAATACAAATGCATTCTAACTTCTAAAGGAAGACAGGGAATGACGTTGGATGTGAACATAAAGATAATAGTGTGAATCAGTGCATAGAAAAGAAAAGCAATGAACTAAAAACTAAATCCATCAAAAACATCAATTGAGTTCCTTACATTTGATGGCAGGTGAAATTAATGAAGCAGCAAAGGAAGATGAGGAGACGAAGCATCTCAACATGAACATGAGAAAAGAAAGAATAAAAGATGAAAAGGTACAACATTGAATGAAACATATACAAGTAAAACAGATATAAAAAAAACAGAGAAAAAGCACAAAAACCTATGATAAATAAGTGATGAGGAACAAAAGTAGTGACTCACTACTACATAAGAGTGAGTTTTGGTGGAGCAAAGAATAAAAATTCTACTGTAACGAAGGAGTTTATGTGAAATACATACAAACATAATCTAATAGAGAAAGTGTCACTGCAGAGGCAGAGACGGTCAAGGAATATGTTCAAAAGGGCTGAACGACTTGATCTCCCATTCAGTGGATTCAATGAAATGATGCATGACTGACAGGCTCAAAATGTCACAAACAGACAATTGAATCCTTTCCATCAAGGAAAGCCATCTTTTGTCTTTGAATAAAGTTTATATTTTAAATATTAATCACAAAAGTATTGCCTTAGCTGCAGGTCGCTCCTCACAAGGAACTGATTGGTCTTGAAGTCTGAGAGATTTATTTTCGTCTGATATGTAACCGCGCAATTCTGGCATGATCGCGTGCTCTCTGTAGCATTCCTAATATTATATTTAATTTCTGCCAATAAACTTGAACCATTTCTATTTGAGGGTCATATTTTGTGTCATCCAATGTT